AAAAAAAAAAAAAAAAAGATTGAATTTTTCTTTTCCTTTCTCAGATTGAATTTTCCTAGAGATGGGGAAAGCATTTCATCCCTTATGGCCTTTAAAATGTCGTTTTCATACAGATCAAGAGTAACCGAGTTCTCATTAAATGAACAGAATGAACAGCTGGAGTAATATACTTTTCTTTAATCTCTTACTGACCAGTATTTTGGGTTTGTGCTATACCGAACAACACTTCCTCGAGATTGCAACACCCCAACACCTCTCTCTTCACCCTTCAATGGAGTCCATGATCGGGCCTACGTCTCTGTGGATGGGGTAAGAATCTCCTCTGAACTGTGCGTTTTTGCCCTAAGGGGGATGTTTAGTCTGTCCTTGTTAACTTGGCATTTGAGACCTTTGCTCACCTCTTCAACCTCAGGCTCTGCCCCTCATCTTGATGTCCCTTAGCTGTGCCCTTCACTTGCTATGGGGCCTCACTAATTCACCACTTGCCTAGAATATACCCCCGCTTCCATCTTAACCCTGGAGGTCCCACCCTCTCAAAAGCTTTCTGTGTGTCCCTGCTCCAAAACCGTTCTCCTGTGACTGACCCTAGCATGTTACCCATGTATTCTTTGCTCCTTAGGCAAAGAACATTTCCAGCTCAGTTTTATATAGGCCACTAATCAAAGTGGATAAAACTTTGTGCCTCCATCCTGCATGAGAAATTATTTTCTGAAAGATTGCTTATGACAATTATCACTAAAATGCACAAAGAACTTTGCTTATAACAAAATGCAGATACATTTTAAGATTTCCACTCCTCCCACTGAAACAATCATACAAAAAAACACATTAAAAGATTTTCCTGGGCAGCGCCTGTAGCTCAGTGAGTAGGGCGCCGGCAGGTTCAAACCCAACCCCGGCCAAACTGCAACAAAAAACTAACTGGGCATGTGGCATATGCCTGTAGTCCCAACGACGCGGGAGGCTGAGGCAGGAGAATCTCCTAAGCCCAAGAGCTGAAGGTTGCTGTGAGCTGTAATGCCACAGCACTCTATTGAGGGCAACAAAGTGAGACTTTGTCTCTTAAAAAAAAAAAAAATTTCCTGAACAAGAAAATTTGTTTAGAAAACATAAGGTTCAAATATTTCTATTCTCTTGTAATCAACAGCTTTCACTGCAATGGGAACAAGTTAAAGATCTAACCTTTTAACTTAGGAATGGGTTGCTGATAAGACATCTGCCCCTGTGCCTCATTCTTTTATATAATTTTTGTGGCTAATACATCATATCAAATATTTTTGAGGTGAGACTACACCACCTAACTCTCTGATTTTATCTCGTTTATCTGATTAGGTCTCAGCTCTCTATGTTGTTTAGAAGCTGTTTTTTTAATGACTGACTTTTGTGCTGTGAGAACACAAAGCAGTTCCTCTGCTGGAAATTTGCCTCCATTCTTTTCCATTAAAAATAAATGCACAATCCCTTCTGAACCACAGTTTTATATGAAAAGAAAAAAAAATAGATGCAGAGTAAAATATTCAAGGGCAAAGGAAACCAGCCTGGACCTTCCCATGCTCTGAGCTGTGTCTGGCAATTTTCCTAGTTAGGAAGCAGAGACAGGGGGACCCTGCCTGTGACCTGGGCTAAGGAGTGGTCAAAGCATTCCTCAACCAAGTCAGACACTTCAGGCAGGAAGATGAGTGCTCAATGAACAGCGTGCTGCCTTTCTCTCCACTGATCTTGCTGAAATCCATTCTCATTTGGCCTTGAACCCCACAGGTTCCCCAGGGAATCCTTGCGCGAAGCACCGTGCTCTCTCTGAACATAACAGGGAAGGCTGGAGCCACTCTGGACCTTCTGGTGGAGAACATGGGACGTGTGAACTATGGCAAATATATCAAAGATTTTAAGGTAGGGAAAGCCACGCTCTTAGGACTGAGAGTTCAACAAGATTGTGAGGTTTTGACAGTCTGAGAAGTTTTAGTATATCCATTTTAAAACTTCTGTATATATAGTCTTTCCCTCCACCCTATTAACGTAAAGCAGTCTTTACATTATTTTTTATATTCCTAAACTCAATGTTTTTGTTTTGTTTTTGTTTTTTGAGACAGAGCCTCAAGCTGTCGCCCTAGGTAGAGTCCTATGGCATCACAGCTCACAGCAACCTTAAACTTGGGCTTAAGCGATTCTCTTGCCCCCCTTCCCAAGTAGCTGGGACTATAGGTACCTGACACAATGCCAGGCTATATTTTTCAGTTGCAGTTGACATTGTTGTTTTAGCTGGCCCAGGCCAGGTTTGAACCCACCAGCCCAGGTGTATGTGGCTGGTACCCTACCCACTGAGCTACAGGTGCCACCTGTTTTTGTTTTTGTTTTTGTTTTTCTTTGAGACAGAGTCTCAAGCTGTCACCCTCAGTAGACTGCTGGAGTGTCACATCTCACAGCAATGTCAAACTCCGGGGCTTAAGCGATTCTCTTGTCTCAGCCTCCCAGGTAGCTGGGACTACAGGCACCCACCACAACGCCCAGCTATTTTTTTGTGTGTTGCAATTGTCACTGTTGCTTTAGCTGGCCCCAGGCTGGGTTCAAACCTACCAGCCCTGATGTATGTGGCCGGCGCCCTACCCACTGAGCCACGGGCACTGCCCAACTCAGTGTTTTGATGTATGTATACATTGTGAGATGGTCATCACAGACTAGCTAGTTAACATCATAGAGGCAGTTTGTAAAAGTGCACAAAAGGTTTGAAGAGTGAACATGTCCTGATTTGTTTTGCTGCCTAGCAGTTGGGTTGTTTTGAAGAACTGTTTTCCTCCCTAGGTAATGAGAAAGTTGAGCTTTGCAAACAGAACCTTTCCCTTGTCTTTGAGTTTGTTCATCCTGTAGGAAGAAACAGAAAGAATGTGCCATTCCACAGTTATCTTCCTCTGCTTAAAAATCCCACCCAGCTCACTGAAGGCCCTGTTTGGCCAACAGAGCCAGCTGAGCATTTGGTCTGTTCTGTGTTGTGGGTTTGGATGTTGTGGGTTCATCAGTCCATCATGAACTCTTCAACTATAGAAAGCCTTTTCCCTTAGCACACTGCCTCTCACTTCTTACCTCTGCCCAGGTGTCTAGACCGAATGTATTTTTCAAAACAAATATTTTTGGAGCGTTATTCAACAAACACATGTTACACTCACACTCGTGCGAGATGCTCCCCAAGGTGCTTTGGGGAAAGCAAAGATGTTGCAACGCAGGCTCCCCCCAGGGTAGCTCACCATCTTCCTGAGGCCAGAAGAACTCATCAAGGAAACTGTGACACCAGCTACTCTAGGGCAGGACAGGTGTCTGGGGCTACTTCCTGACCCTCTTGGTGGCAGCTCAGAGACAGGCAGTTACACAGTTAGGGAACAGCTGTGAGCCAGCCACCTCCAGTGTAAATGTCTCTCTTCTAGTCCTGTGTTCAGGCTTTCCTGAGTGACCTTTCTGCTTGGCTCTCACAGGCCACACAGATGGTGGAGTAACTAGGAGTCAGTTGTGTAGTCCCTGGGTCCCCTGTGCCTGGCAAAAAACCTGATGCACAGCTGCCTGGTTAATGCTTATCAAATTACTGAATGGCCATTTGAGTGAGACTCGATATCCAGTGTCCTGCTGGGAGTGGAGAAGATCCTTATATACAAGCCCAGGAAGGGGGAGTTCGATGAGCTGTGCCAGGCTGCCAGACTGTGGGTGCTCCCATGACACCCCAGCTCCCAGCTCTGGTGGAACAACTAGAGCAGCCTCCCAATACAAGTGTAAGGTTTGCTGTCACCATCATTACCCTTCACGTCCTTTCACAGATATCCAAGTTTCCCACTTAGGCTTCCTCATTTGGTCCTCACAGCAGTGAGTGGACTCAGGTTGATGGACTCAGGACTCAGTCAGTGGACTCAGTGCTCCAGGTCAACACTCACCCCCAGCGATATCCATCACCTGCTCCTGCCCTTGGTGGTTCTCCTGTTCTTCAGATTCCGTCTTTCCTCCCATTCTAGCAATGGCTCAGAACCAAATGCTGAAGGCTGGGAAATTCAGAAACTCTGGCCCTTTCGTGGAGACATCTTGACCTCCAACAGAGAGAGAAAGCTGTGCTTTGGGAAATAGATCTCTTTCCAAGGACTTGTGATACTCCCTTAAGCTAAACCTGTGTTGCTTTGATGTCCTGTGGTTTGAGTCTCGTTTCCTGTTGGTTTTTTGTATACTAGTTTGCTTTTTCCTGGAGTTGAGGGCTGGGATGCAGAGACACATGAAGCCTTCTCTTTCCCTCCCTAGCTCATTGTACTGTTTCTCTTTTTTCAGGGCTTGGTTTCTAACCTGACCCTTGGTTCCAGTATCCTCATGGGCTGGATGATGTTCCCGCTGAACACTGAGGATGCAGTGCGCAGCCAACTGGGGCACTGGGGGGGCGAGGATGTCAGGCAGCATGGTAAAGCCCCCAGCTCATCTAACTACACGCTCCCAGCCTTTTATGTGGGGAACTTCTCCATTTACAGTGGGATCCCAGACTTGCCCCAGGACACCTTTATCCAGTTTCCTGGATGGAGCAAGGTACGTGACCTATGGGAAGGGTTTGAATTCAAGCTTCAAACATAATGGGTTTTAGTGACTGAGAAAGAATCAAAAACAGCCATTAAGGCCAGATGTGGCACAACTATAGTCCCAGCTACTCGGGAGGCTGAGGCAGGAGGATTGCCTGAGCCCAAGAGTTAGAGGTTGCAGTGAGCTATGATGATGCCACTACACTCTAGTACAGATAACAAAAAATGAGACCCTGTCTCAAAAAATCAAAAAAAAAAAAAACCTTTTAAAATTTGTTCAAGGTCACATGGATATTAAGTAGTATATCTAGAATGAACCTAGGTGATCTCATTTCAAACTTCATACTCCTAATTCTTCATCATATCTTACCTGGCTTAGTTAAAACATAAACCAGGGCTGGGCTTAGTGGCCCACATCTGTAATCCTACCACTTTGGAAGGCTGAAGGGAGCAGATCCCTTGAGACCAGGAGTTCAAAACCAGGCTGAGCAAGAATAAGACCCCATCTATATGAAAAATAGAAAAATTAGCTGGCCATGGTGGCTCACACCTATAGTTCCAGCTACTCAAGGGACTGAGGTAGGAGGATCGCTTCTTGAGCCAAGGAGCTCAAATCTGCAGTGAACTGTGATGATATTGTAGCTCAGGTGGCAGAAAGAGACCCTGCCTCTAAATAAATAAATTAATTAAAATAAAAATATTTGATCTTCAAAGACATTAAGAACGTGAAACTAAGCCATAGACCAGAGAAAATAATTTTTAAATCCTATATCTAACAAAGATATGTATCGGGTTGTGCCTGTGGCTCACTGAGTTGGGCTCCGGCCCCATATACCAAGGGTGGCGGGTTCAAACCCGGCCCCAGCCAAACTGTAACAAAAAAATAGCTGGGCGTTGTGGCGGGCACCTGTAGACCCAGCTACTCGGGAGGCTGAGGCAAGAGAATCACCTAAGCTCAGGAGTTGGAGGTTACTGTGAGCTGTGACGCCACGGTACTCTACCAAGGGCAATAAAGTGAGACTCTGTCTCTAAAAAAAAAAATTTAAAAAAAAAGATATGTATCTAGAATATGTAAAGAATCCTTATGACTCAATAATAGGCACACAACCCACTCCAAAAGCAGGCAAAGAACTTGAATAGACATTTGACCAAAGAAAGTATACAAATGGCTAATATGTACATGAGAAGATGCTTAATACCCAACATAATTAATCATTATGGAAATGCAAGAAAAAAACACAATGAAATATAACTTCACACCCATTAGAATGAGGGACAGTCAAATGTTGGCAAGGATGTGGAGCAAATAGAATCTTCCTGCCTTCTTGGTAGGAATGTAAGATGGTACAAACATTTTGGAACATAATTTGGCAGGTTCTTCAAGGGTTAAATACAGGGTGGCCATAAAGTTCATGTGCAATTTAAAATAGTTACAGCCACCCTGTATAGGACCCAGCAGTTATACTCTTAGTTATATACCCAAGAGAAAGGAGAACACATATAAATATTAATATGCAAATATGCAATATTATTTACAGTAGTATTGTATATAGTAATGGCATTCATAATAACCACAACTGGAAATACAGTAGAGCCTGTGTGGGTTCACCAGCCAAGGGACAAACTGGTCAGTATACAGAGGTGGTCAACAAAAGGAACTAGGCCTACTGTACTGTGGTGCTTGTCTGATCTATGAAAATTAGGTCAACCAAAGGAGGTGGTCAGCCTAGAGAGGAGGTCAGCTGCGGAGGTCCTCCTGTAATTCAAATGTCCACCAAGTGATGAATGGACAAAATGTGGTATATCCATGAATGGAATGCTAGTTATCAGTAAAAAGGAACAGAGTACTAATCTGTGCCATAACCCAGATGAATCCGGAAAATATTATGCAGAGTAAAAGAAGCCACATACAAGGGGCCACGTATTATATGACTCCATTTACATGAAATATTCAGAAAAGGCAAATCTATAAAAACAGAAAAATGAATGCTTGCCTAGGGCTAAGAGAAGAATGGAGAGTGGCTGTAAATGGGTATGGAGTTTCTCTGGGAGTGCTGGAAATGTTATAAAATTGTAATGGTTGCACAGTCTTCTAAAATTCATGTACTTGTTTTTTTCTCCCTCACATGGTAATCTTGGTGAATATACCTCTGGAATTTCTGGCTTTAATATCCTCTCTCTGGCCACATGTTTCCATCCCCCAGCTTTCATGCCTACCAGGCTGCTCTTAGATCTTACTAATGACCTGAAACTCTCCACCATGAAGGCCACAGTTCCTCCTCTCCAGCCTAGTGGTCACCATTGTCCTTTTTAAATAGTCATCAGTCCACTTGTCCCCTTGTTTTTCCATTCCCTCCCTTGCTCATCTTCTAGTGTACAGGGGTCCAGCACTGGCCCTCTCTTCACCAGTACTGAGCTCCACTGGGGGACCTCTCCAGTGCACTCATCATAGCCATGATGCCCTCCCAGCCTCCCACCTCCAGAAGCCCTTGGTCTCTCTCTGCTGCCTTCCCAGCCTTGACACCCTCCTGAAGCCACCTTCTCTCTCTCTCCCCACCCCCTCCACTGAAGACCTCCTCCTCCTGACTGCTATCAGGTGTAACTCTTTTGTTCCTTCAGCTTCCTGTCAGACTTATCTCTCTGCCTCACCCTCACTTCCTGCCCAGTGGCCTCTAGCAGGACCTCTGAGCTCTGAATCCCCTCCCCACCTTCTTCCTCTAGGCCAAGATTCTGTTCTCATATTTCCTCTACCTGCATCCTCTCAGCTTTTTTATCTGTCTGCCAACTCCCATTTTGTAGCCAAAAAGTGATTAACTAGGGGCTAAGAACAAAGTAAAGCCCTTCCTGGGTCTTCCCCCTTTTGCTACCAAGCACCCCTCTTGCTCCCTTGCCCCCCGCCTTTTTTTCCCCTTCTTCTGTAGTAGAAGCAAAGGTGCAGAAATGGCAAAGTGCAGGAGATTTTGGAGGTCAGAGGTGGTTCACCCTGGCCAAGTCATGAAGGTGCCACGTCCAAGAGTGGCCACAACACAAGCATTCTGCTCAACGCTTCATAGGCACTATCTCCTTGTTCATCAAAAGAGGCACATGTGGTAGGTTGTCCTGTTACTGTCTGCAGTTTGCAAATGAGCAGCTGAGGCGTAGAAAGAATGACTTGACGAAATACAGAAGCACCCACTAGGACAGGTATCTGAGCCCCAAGTGTGTCTTGGAGGCCCACGTGAAAAGGCAGGCAGCGTGGTACGGGGCCTCACAGGCTGATGAGGAGCTTGTGCTGATTGTCTAGGCAGGAGCTCTTAACCTACTTGGTCAGGCTAATGAATACTCCTCATCTTTATGCTTGAAAAGTTTACATACACACAGTATCTGTGAATTTGTCACAGAGTTGAAGCCTCCCCAAAGCCCATCTAAAACATATGTTCACTCAAAAGTGTGTACCCAAATGTTCACAGCAGCACTATTCATAATTGTCAGAAGAGGGAAGCAGCCCAATGTCCATCAACTGATGAATGGATAAGCACAATGTCTTACTTCCATACAATGGAACGATCTTTGGCAATAAAAAGAAAAATGAAGTACTTATACCCGGTAGAACATGAAAGAACCTTGAAAATGTTATGCTCAGTGAAAGCATCCAGTCCCAGAGAATCATGTGTTGTGTGACTGCACTTATATGAAATATAAGATTTCAGTGGTTGCCTGAAGATTTGTGGCTGCCTAGAGCAGAGAAAGAGGAGTGTTGGGGGAGACAGACTGAAAGTGTCTCTTTTAGGGATGATGAAAACATTCTAAAATTCACTGTCATAGTGTTGCACAGCTCTGTCATAGACTAAAACCTGCTGAATCATATGGTATGTGAATTATCTTTCTTTTTTTTTTGAGACAGAGCCTCGCTCTGTCACCCTAGGTAGAGTGCTGTGGAGTCATCCCTCACAGCAACCTCAAACTCTGGGTTCAAGAAATCCTCCTGCCTCAGCTTCCTGAGTAGCTGAGACTACAGATGCCCACCACAGCCTCTAGCTGGTTTTTCTACTGTTAGTAGAGATGAGGTCTCTCTCTTAGTCAGGCTGGTCTTGAACTCCTGAGCTCAGGCAGTCCACCCACCTTGGCCTGCCAAAGTGCTAGGATATAATTAAAATAATAATAATAATAATAATAAAAAGCTGAAAAATTCCTTTCTTTTACCTGTGCTTGCATCTTGCTTTTGATTATTTCTTTGCCAGCGGGGGATAGTGGCTCACACCTGTAATCCTAGTACTCTGGGAGGCCAAGGTAGGAGGATTGCTTGAGTCAGGACTTCGAGAGCAGGCTGAGCATGAGTGAAACCTCATCTCTATTAAAAAAAAAAAAAATAGAAAAACTAGCCTGGCATTTTGGTGGGCACAAGGTTGCTGTGAGCCATGATAATTCCACGGTATTCTAGCCTGAGCAACAGAGTAAAACTCTCTCTCTCTCAAAAAAAAAAAAAAAAAAAAAAAGAATATTTCTTTGCCTTCTGAAATAGAATATATGGGACTTTTTAAATGCTGTCAGTGTCAGTGTTAATCATTTTGTTCTCAAGGGGAGATGGAGGTATGGACAGACTATAGGAGGGCCAGATTTGGGCCATGGAGAGTAGAGATTGCTGGGAAAGGTTTGATCTTCCTCAATGGAGGAGGACATGTGTGCAGAGGGATTGACCTTTTCAAATGTGTGACATAATAAGAAACATATTTGGTCTTTATCCCAGTTCTAGACTCCTAGAACCCTTGGAATTTTCTGAATGGTAGGAGCATCTTTTGTTATTCATAACATGCCCTTTTCAGTCCTTACACCTATAATCCTGGTGCTTTGGGAGGCTGAGGGGGAAGGGTCATTTGAGGACAAGAGTTGAGGAGACCAGTCTGGGCAACATGGTAAGTCCCTCATCGCTACAAAAAATTTTAAAATTTAGCCAGATGTTATGGTGGGTGCCTATAGTCCCACCTAATCAGGAGGCTGAGGCAGGAAGAGTGCTGGAATGCCGGAATTAGA